TTTAGCGCCTTAAGCACATGGACCAAACATCACACGGCCAGTGACCAATATACACATTTTTAACAAGAGAATAAGAGTAGCGCGCCGTTTTTATTGCGATTTCTTTGATTGGCGCGCATTTTCGATTCTTAAGCTGTCGACCACATAAGCTGCAACTGTGAAATTGCATTTTTGTTGAAGAAAGTGCATTGCATTTTTTTTGTTTGTTTCTCACTCTCTATTAATTGCAATTGATTGTGTTATGTATGTGATTCAAGTAAAATGCGATCGCATAATTCCCATGTGTCCATACGAGTCGATGCGAAAATGTGCAGCAACATTTGTATGGGTGTTTTAAAAAAAAGCAAGCCGTTGAGTATCAAGATCGCGAACTCTTTGAAAATCATAACAACTCAGTGTGTATGACAACACAAAATGCACTGAACCGAAAAAAAACCCAACACGATTGAATGGGACAACGATATGCGAAAAATGCAGCACGATGATAGGCTGTGGCTGTCGAAGACAACGACGATACATAGAGCAAAAACATTAAACAGTGAAAATTGATGAATGAGCATTTGTATCGGCTTTGAAAATACATTGTATTTGGGTGCGAGCACCATATTAGTGGTGCCACCGCCGCCACATCACAACTAAATGTTAAAAACTATTTTGCAGAGACGAGAAAAAAAAACAGTAGTGCCGACAATAAATAGTAGTTCCAAATATGTTCAACAGCATAAAGTAGAAAATCGACAAATGCGCGTTCGTTCGCGCTCACGCTATTTCACAAACAACAACAACAACAACAAAAATATTCATCGAAAACATTACTGATTATGTAGCATGTTTTTGCGTATGCTGCAATCGAATGTGTGTATTTTTTTTCGCTACCAGTGTCCACTACATTCGACTTCTAGTAGTCGTTTAATTCTTCGGATTAATTTTTGTTGTTGGTTTGAATCATCGCACGGCGACAGTGTGTCAAAATAATGTTTTTTGACCATTTGCGGCTGCCGATAAATCGCGCCAAATTGAATTCAAAGGAGAGAGAAGAGCGAGAGAGAACAAGATTATCTTAATCCCAAGTGCCTTCAACATGTACACTATTCACGCGCTCGATTCGCCTAGAAAATAATTCACCAAATGGCCAATGTTTGCATCGACTACTTTTTTTTATTTATAAAAAGAATATGCACACAATGGAATTGTGTCTGAGATAAGACTGTGTACGCAATTGGCGTTCGCAACTATTTGATGAATAAGAGGTACGTGTTATGCACTGTGTGTTTTCTGCTGATTTCAAATTTTGACGCGACCACATTTTGAAAGAGTACATTCAGTGTTACACAGTCGTGTTGCTGTGTATTGCATCCAGAATACCGTATCCCGGTGGCAGCGATGACGATGGCCAACGTTCCGAATCACAGCCATTAATGGCCAATAAACATCATATTATGTGTACCATGTCTCTGATGTATGTATCGCACGATAGTTGTGTATGCACATATATCGTATGTGTACCAAAACGTAATTGATACAGGTTTTGTGTGTGCCTTTTTTTCTCTCTCTTCTCTTCAGTATTATTAACATTCATTTATGAATTGTTGTTGTCACCGCATAATGCATCAATGTTGTGTTGTTTCGATCTTTTTTTTTGTCTCTGTGTGACTGTTTGTTGTTCATGTTTTTTGTCGTTTGATCGTTTGGTCTCTCGTATAATAATAATTCAACTGCCTTGTATCGTATACTTTTTTTTATTCATCTTATTTCTATTTCACTTGTGCTCCATTTTTTTCTCTTCTTACACTCTTTCAGTGTCGATTTGATTTACTTTTAGAAGCGTACACACACATCAACCGAAGACAAGAAATAACTCGTTGAAAGCAATGCGAACAAAAAGTGGCAGCACCAAGTTGCATAGTCACATACAATTACTTTGAGATAGAGAGATTATAATTGCACTTGGGATCTTTTTTATTATTATTATTATTCAGCTATTCAATCATAAAACATAAATGTTCTCAAATCAACGGAATATGTTTTTTTCTCTTCAGAAACGATGCTTGCAAATCACACACCAACTAATAAATTTGCATATTCGATTAATTTTGAATTGAAACACTCATACATGTATTTTTTTTGATCATAACACTCGGTACCATAGCTGCTCAATTCATTTCGCGAAAGACAAAAAAAAACAATATCAATATTTTCGTACAGGAGGCATTCATTTTAATAGCATACTTTGCTCCCCTTTCAATCTCTGAATTGTGTGTGGAATATGTCACAAATCGGTATGCACCATTCGCTCATGCCAACATACACGCACACACAAAACGGTAAGCAGTAACAGTGTAACTTGTTGTAGGTGCACGCGTGAAGATTGATTATATCATTTTATGTTCTACATGCATCATAAAGATAATAGATTGGCCTGAGATGGCGAGAGAGTGCCAAAGCATAGAGAAAGAGCACAACAAAACAAAAAAAAGTTGTTGTTACGATCGCGCGCGAGCGCATGCAATCAGTTCACATATATACACAAGTAGTTTTACTCTCGCATCACACACAGCATCGAGTGCACCGTTGCAACCACACCGATGGTGTATCACTTGCACTTTAGATCAAAATTAATCATACGACATTAACAACAGCAGCAGCACAAAAAGCGTATGTATGTTTATGTTGCGGCCGACGCTTTACGCATTTTTTTTTTGTATTTTGCCAAGAACACACTGACCACATGAAAACCAATTGAAATTGAATAAAACAGAAGAGAACATAACACCCAAAAGAATTACCATGTGAGGCTGTATTGTGTCCGTCGAATGCGACCCTCGCAATTTGATTTGAACACGAATCGCAATCGCGCACTCTCTCTTTCTCTCTCTCTCTACTCACTAAATCGAGCATATCTTTAGAGCAATGAATCCATCCAATTTGATTTCCAATGGATATATCAATCACATGCCATTTTCAATCACACAACCGCCGGTGTAATATGAGGATCGTTAATTTTATTATCATAATTATAGTGAAAATAGATTTTACTATATTGAGATCTTAACAACTCTAAAGATTTCTTTTGAATGAAAGAAACGTGGCTGAAAGAGAGAAGAAGAAAAAACTTGCTATCACATCACATCGTTGTCCATTTGAATCATATTGCAGATATTGGAGCGCTCTCTGTCTTTCTTCTTTCTTCGGTGTCCTCGTCATCTCATTTCGATTTCGTTTCAGCGTAAAAATAGATTTTAAAGAAAGTGAACGTGATGATTAGCTTTTTTACAGTACAATTAAAGAATTTCTATTCTTCACGAACGATTTGAATTGTAAATGGAGTAGATTTTTTTTTATATTTTATTTATCTTGGAAGAATTTTCAAATTGAAGAACAACTTGATCAAACTGAAGACAACAGTGTAATCAAGATTGTGAAATTTATTTCGAAAAAAATTGATCAAAGAATGTTCCAATGTGTTTTGAGTTCGTTAGAAGTACGATTTTTTTTTCTTAGTGGAAATCGATTTCAGATATTTATTCTAATTCTCCCATTTAAATTTCAAATGACTGAATTAAAAAATACGAAGAAAAATGGTGAACTTCATCATTATTTATTAGCACTTTTTCACTAAATACAGTGAAATGAAAACTCGTTAAAACTCGTTTTTTAATTTTCTAGTTTTTGCCGAAGGTTCAAAATTTATTGACAATTTTTAAAGACTTTTTTTAAGGAAGTGCATCGAAACATGTTCCAATTAGGTGAGAATTTTTCTGGCACTCTTTTTTTCAATTTTTTTTTCGAAATTTGTCACTTCTCGCTCTGACAGTTTGTGGTGATCCCCTTGTTATGCCATAACGGCCCATTGGCAAATGAAACTGCACTGAATTCTAAAGATTTTCCACTTGTTTTGAATGTTTACTGAGACGATGCAGTTTTGTTTCTGTTGTTTCAAGTAATTTGACCCACTTTTTGCCATGGTGCAAACAACGCGTGGCAAGACCTGTGCGCGCAAACACATTGTTTGTTTGTTTCTTTTTTATGAATGAATTGTTGATAATAGAGAATTCATCTTTGACAAGTTCAAATTGGGCTCAAGTGTCTGTATAACAAAAAATAGGCCAACGTCATAATGGTTGGAAATGCAAAGTGATGGAGAAATCGGCGTTCGTTTCTTTTTTTTTTCTTTCGTAGTGTGCCCTCACTTTAGTCAAGACATTTTCAATTCGATATGATCGCAATCAATCACAATATGCACATGGCATTCATTTGCGAATGCAATGAAAAATATTCACATACAATTCCACACACAAACAACATATAACAGAAAAAAAATTCACTCACTCACACGAGATTCATGCCTATGATAGAGAATTTGTGATATTGGTCAAGTGATAAAGCAGGCAAACGGCAAAATTAATCAGATGCATAATAAATATAGTTGGGATCAATGATAACAATAATAAAAATCAATTCGCATAAGCGAAACGAAATAATAAAAAGAAGAAGAAGAAAATCCACATTGTCGTTCATTCAACTTCGTATAATTTGTTCTAAGCTTCATATTAATCTTGGAGTCTTATCAGTTTACATATTAGCCTCCTTCTAGACTCCAAAGTTGGATTTGCACTAAAAGCACACATTTTATACACAAAACACAAAAAAATACCACGAGCTCACCGACTTAATTGGAAGGCAAATCGACATATTTTTTTTCTTCATTTCATTGTAATTGTTGTCTTTGTAGTATTATTATTTTTTTGCTCTCTTTAAAACAATAACCGTTATAAATGATATCAGCTTAACACATATACACTCGCTAGCACACACCATCTGTGGTTACCGGTCAAAAAAATAAATGAAAGTTTAAAACCAAAAAATAAATGACATGGAATTTTATGAAAATTTGAACGTTATCGAATTATTTTCACTTCACTTAGACAAAAAGAATTTGCAAATTGTGCGAGACAACGAAAAAAAAATATATGTATTGACAAAAATCAATTAAAACTTACAATATTGATCACTTTATAATTATTTAAAATAAACACGATGGTTTTGATTTTCTTTGGATTTTTTTTTCTTTTTTGTAAATGCTGAGGAAAATTACAATTTCAAACGAAAAAAATCGCTGCTCAGCGATATGAAAATGGTATAACAAAAAATATATATTATTTTTTGTCTTTAACTATAAAATACACAACCGTCGTGAACCGCCGCTAAGTTAATTCTGTTTATCGTGCACACCATAGACCAGCATAACCGTTTTCTCAACTCACATGCCGCAACCCAGCCAACCATTTAGCAACCAACCGAAAAGAAGAGAGAAACAACAACAACAAAATCAGCAATACAACCAATACCAAGCATGTGAATAAATACAAAACACGGCGGCAATAAATGTGTATGCAGTCGCGCATTTACACGGCATTATACACACTATGTGTGTTGCTGAAAAGCGAATAAAAAGCATAAAAAAGCACACACGCGAATGTGCACTTCATAAGCATATATTAAACGACCAAACTGAACACACACAGTGCACACAACAACGACGAAGACGAAAGCGGCGGCAACATAAACATTGGCTAGAAAGAGTGAGCACGATTTGGCTACACAGAGAGGCTAAGAAAAACATATCACACATATCTCTCATCAAAGCCAATCTCTTTTCTATAGTTGGTTGGTGTCGACGAGCAAATAAACGAGCCACCGCCAGTGAGAGTGAGAACGAAGAGTGACAGACCAAGAGAGAAAGTGAAAAAGATAAAGTGTGAGCGAGAGAGAAATGACGAGAGATAGAGAGAAAGAAAAGACGTGAGAGAGAGGAGGCTAGAGAGAGAGAGAGAGAATAAGTGAAAAAAGAGAGAGAAATAGAGAACGTGAGAGAGATACAATAAGAAAGAGAGTGCGCGCCGTTGTAATATCGTGATATGTATGACTATGAAGTGGGCTTATGTGAATATTGAGCCGATGCTTTTTCTCTCTAGTTTTGCTTTTTAGTTTGTTGTTTGCGTCCAACTCATTGCACGTTTGCCAGCTTATCCATAGCCAAAGTTCCAATCAGCATTTTGCAAATGGATCCCCGCACATATTCGATCAGGCCAAAAGATCATAGCCAAAACATAAACAACAATAAAATGCAAAATAGAGGAACCGTTTTGCTTATCCAATAAACAATAAAAGCGAAACAATTTATGGCCATTTAACTCAATGCTCAATGAATGATTTGTTTTAATTTTATGTGTTTGCTGCACAAGCCGGTGTGCACAAAAATTGTAAGATAGACAGACGGCAAGAGCACAAAAGGAGAAAAGGAGACCGAAAAAACACATATGCCAACGAATACGTACTCTCTTGATATCATCGCGCACAAACGAGCTTGATTTCCTTCAAATTGATTACGAACGCGTATATAGGTTTCTATTGAATGCATTCGCATTGGGTTTCAACTCTGTTCACTCCTTCTCATTCCATTGATTTATGGTTGCAAGCAAATACTTCACTCTCTGCGTGCCGATTTTTTTTTCTCCGAATGATTTGGCCATATCTTTTATCATTTCAACAATAGATTTATTCAGCATATATATTTTATAATATACTTTATGAATTTTGGCCTATAAATAAATGCTTCAAGTTGCACAAATCATAAATTGTTCATCTCTTTTTTCCCATTCCATTTGAAATCGTCAACGATACAACGTAACTATATCATCATCATATAAATGCAAATTTTAATATCATTTTGATCGAATCGCAATGATAACACTGACTCTTTTTTTTCTCAATCTTGTGTGGAAAACACACAACGACCTAACGCAACGATAATCAACTATGTCTTTATTCATTTTATGTGACCGTTTGCATTTTGACACATATTTTTTTTATTGTTGCATTACCCTACCCTGCGTTCATACGAATATAGCCCGGCACGAAAAATCATTTTTGGTTTTTTGCTCTCTTCATTCATTGGTTTTCTGTTTGAAACAATACCATTGTAACTTCGTCAACCCACTGAAAGCATACGCTGCGAAATATAAACGAACCCAGGCCACCTTCAACTTAACTCTGAATTTTAATTGACCATCCGCTCTGCAAATACGAGATTCATTTTATGCGTTATTATTATTATGATTCGTCTATTCGTTCGCAAAAATTGTGTAAAATAAAAATTGAATTTATGAAGATGATGAAAAAAGGTCATTTCATATGTAACACGGATGGCGAAAGTTGAAACACAAATATGTCGCATCAAACGCAAAAAAAATGTATCTTATCTCTTTTATCATTCAGTATAACATCTTTCGCGCGGCTTGTGGCATCCAAATCGATTTTTTATACTAAAGACACACACAATTATGTCTAGTGTTTTTTTCGATAAACTTACCGAAAAAGGTGACATTAAATAAACGATATAGATTTTTTTATTGCAATTGAATCAACCAGACTTGATATTTTGATTTTGTAAAAGAAAATTAATGGTTTTTTTTTAGTAAATTCAATTTTAATTGGTATTCTGGAATTTTTGCGTTTGTAAATAAATCGGTGGGAATAAAAAGGTAACAACATACTTCAGATGTAATCAACTTACCCCCATATTTCGTTTGGGAAAATTGCTTTATGATTGAGAAAAAGATGAGATGCGAAACTACTTTGTTATTCACACCAATTAAAATTATATCGAATGAGCTGAATTAATTTTTCAAAAAACAAAAAAAAATAAAGTCAAAATAAATCAGAAACTATAGACCCGTAAAAATCAAAAACAGTCGGTAGTTCAAACATGAAGTTTAATCGACTACCTTAATGACTTAAAAATATTAATAATTAATATTAAGTAGAATAATTAATAATTTATAAATAGAATTAATTGTCGATTCTTGAATATTTAGCTTTGACAATGGTATTTCACGGGTTGACTTTTCATCACACTAAAACGGTTGCGCGTACCGCTGTCCACTGTGATAGAAATGAAGCCCGTGCTTTTCGTAAAAATTCAGTTACTTTTATTATACGGTTTTTGATTGAAATTCAATCATTTTCATTTTTTTTAATCCATGAACTAATCCATTATCCATTTGATCCGAGAAATTTCAATTGGAATTCGTAAAATAGTCAGAAGAAGCATTGTCTGACTGAGTGGTTTTTTTTATTTCAAAACGAAATTGAGACTAAGTTCAATTCAGTTCTCTATGCAAATAGAATGATTTCGAAAACTGTCTTTTCGAAGCTCAAAGCCCAATTTCGTCAGTGTTGATGTCTTTTCACTTTGAAATGGGACCAGTTAACCCTTTAACCTTTTTCATGCATTTGCTTGCACAATAATTTTCTTCACTTGCACAAAATGAACACAAATTTAGTAGTGCGACCGCCTTACGGTTCTGTTTCACAGAAAATAAAAATTGCCTATTCATACGGCATATGCTTGAAATAAAAATATGAAGAAATTGAAGAAAAAAAAAATCCGTTAAACTATGTTCTACGATATGAAATGTTCGATTCAATTTCTTAATGATGTGGATTTTGTTTGGCTTTTGAATTATAAAGTTGGCCAAGAAATAACTTTTGAAAACAAAAATCAAAGTTAGCTAATATATAGGCACATGTATATAGTTCAGCTCTTGAATTATAGAGGTCTCCACGAAGTTTGAAAGCTTCTTGTCAGACTTTCGGTCATTAGTTCGAAATGATCAAAGATAGAATGGAAACACAATAAATATAAGATTAAATAGTTAAAGTTTATTATTTTTTATAAAAATCACTATTCGATTCGAAGCGTAGGAAATGTGTGTCTATTTTTTATAGGTGGAAGCACCTTGCCGTGCTAATTCATCAGCTCGTTCGTTGCCGCGAATGCCAATGTGTGCTGGTACATATTTCCATTGAATATTCATCTGTGAATTATCGGCGATGACTTGATCTAATTTACGAAAATCGTGTTCATTCTTCACTGGTCCGCCGCTGCTCAATCGCCAATTACGTTTTTTCCAGTTGACCATCCACTCTGTCACCGCTTTTATCACAAATTGCGAATCGGAATTGATGCACAATTTTTTTATACCGCAACCGGCTGCTAAATGTATCGCCTTTGTCACACCCTGGATTTCACCACGATTATTTGTTGCTGGACCTATCACCGGTTCTGCTGCATTCCTGTTCCAATAGACAATGTTTTAGTTCTTTTTTGTCGAATTGACAAGAAATGGGATTCTATTCAAGAAATGGTTCAGTTGTTTCCTCGGAAGGCATGAATCATTTTATTGAATTTATGGAGAAATACTTGAGGCCAATAATGTATTTCACAACAGTGTAATTACATTGCCATGCATGAGAACAAACAAACTAAAATAAAACTAAAGTGAGTTCTCGACTTCCGAATTTTGAAGAGTTGCCATCAATTCATTTTCTTTGTTTAAATAAAAAGTGTACGTACAATGCATGCCCTTCGCCAAAATAAACTCCAAAACCTGCAATCGCATTAGGTTTGCCGTTGTTTTCGCACGAACCATCGGTGTAAACATGTACATAACCTTCGTCATCTTCCAGAAAATGGTGACCACCATAATTTTTCATTTGTTTTATATTTGACGTAAAATCGGTGGTTTTGTCCTCGTTAATTTTTGATTTTTTGGTCGTCGTCCCAGTACCTGTACTACTCGAGTCACCGCGAGTCCGTTTGTTACTTATTCTTGTGTTCTGAAATTAAAATCTAATAATAAAAATCCAATTCGATCCATTCAAATTGAGACGTGTATTTTTCAATAAAAACTCACCAAACTTGTCGCAGTCTGTGTAAGTGTAGAAAGTGTAGTCTTCGGTCGTTTTTGGTCTATGAATTGATTTGCTTCGGCTTCAGTTTTGAATTTCTTGAAAATGGCTCCAGTAAACCCTTTCACCTGCGTCTCACATTCTGGCCTATTTAACGAAAATAATTTTCATTCAATTCGTTTTCTTTGAAATTTGAAATCGCTTTGCTTTCTTATAATTGTGTTAACTTCGAAAAATTAACCGCAACTACTCGTTCAAGAAAATTTAATCTTAATTCAACTAATTCACAAAAAATCTTAAAACAAAACATTTTCGTAGAGAATTTCTTGTTTAAAAATAATTATTGAAATACCATGTATCAAAAATGCCGACACTTCTGCCATGAGCAACCGCATAAAATGGCATTTTTGTTAATGATTTGCGCAATAAACTGTACATATACACAATGAAAGTGTGTTACTTTCTGAATTCAAAATTAAACTACAACACTAACGATAAATTCAAAACAAAATTTATTACGAAGAAGCAGCAAATGTTTACTGTGATGAAAACAAATGCACGTCGAACAGATGTATGAGAATGACATTTCAGCGGGCAACGTGTGTCAAAACAAAAAGTCGATGTCTGTGCTTCATCATGTTTTTGGACGATAGATGGCGTTATGTGTGCGTGTGCTTTGCATTGAATTTCACAAATAAATCGAACGATACCGACTTTAAATTTAGAATTAATATCAACAAATGTTTGTACACCGAAAAACAAAACAACCACAAAATTGACACACAAATTTAACGATGCCATAAAATGGATTCTATTTTAGCGTCAACATGTTGAATTTCGATATTTTTTTCCCCCATTTTTCATTGGGAGTGAGTCTTTTTTTTAAATTGTAAATTTGTTTACATTACGATTTTGGCGATTCAAATTTATGATGAAATACAAATTACGCACTCATTTTCTGGATAATTGTATAATTAAATGTATCAGACCCAATGCAAATGCTCACCCGGTTAGTGTAGAAATTTTATGCGATTATCGCGTGATGAACTATTTTTGGTTTCGCTGCAATTATGGACATCATTCAATTTAATAAAACTAACGAACAAAAATTGGTTGGTGTGGCATACACATTATTTATTTCAAATGGTATTGCATATTCCTTGCGAAATACTGCGTCAAATGTTGTGAGAAAAACCAAAACGCAATAAGACATGAACACGTTTGTTGAGAAGAATTATGTATATACGGTGTGTTTCATTTATGGAATTTATTAATTTATATATGCTTATGTGACAAGCTCAAACATTTGTTTGCTTATCGTTTTTGATATCAACAAATACTACGAATTAATATCAAATAATAGCAACAATAACATGACATCAACACGGGTTAGTTCTGAAAACAAATTGAATGAGAAGAGATAGAGAAAGAGCGATAGGAACAGTCCAATTGCAATATCAATGTGCTTGTTATTAAAAAAAATACCGCAAAAAGTAGTCAACATAATGTCACATTCAAGAAAATACTGTTAACTATCATCATTTGTATCAATAAATTATTTACAATTGAAATGTCGAGCAAAAGCGATTGAAATCTGAAAGTTTGTTCAAAACTTCCATCGAATCGAGAGGCCCTCCCACTTCAATAATTGATTCATGCGTTTAATTAAAGTTGCAATGTGTTTCTTTTTCCCGTTCTATCCTTTTCGGCCTACTAATAGCACACCACACACATATCAAAACATCGTGTTATTATTCTATTAAAAATAATTAACCCAGAGAGTGTACGGATAAAAATGATTGTTTTCTTACTCAGTCTCTAATGCTCGGAGATGCTTGGCCATGTGGCATTCTGATTAGACTGTCCCTTAAAATTGTGTTTGGCTGAAATTTGGTCGCTTTCACCCATGAATAATTTTTCATATGATGTGTAGTCCGGTGTATCGATAATAGAGAATGATAATGCCGTACCGTCTTTTTCCAAAAAAAAAAAATTACTTTAGTGAAACAAATGCCAGAATGCTTTCAAGTAGTTGATATTTATACGGTGATGATTTCATTTATACGGTCAAAATTGATCGGATTCAGTCATTGAAAAAGGGTTAGAAAAAATTGCTATGAAAATGACAGAGTTCAAACAATATAAATCGTTCAAAGATTGTTGCGGGACAGTCTAATTCTGATATAAAAATAGACCATTTTATTGGCTGACACCAATAAAGACAACGGCATCATCAGTTTGCGTAAAAATCTGTCTGCATTTTCAACGAATTGCTTTGTTTTGTTTTTTTTTTTTCACTCGAATGTGTGTGTGTTTTGTATCTATCCTTTTCAGAACCCTCTTTCCATGCTTGGACGTCCATCTCTATAATATTTACTAATTTTGTATTTGATAATGTTCCGTTCATTCTTAATGTATCTATCTACCTATCCCTCCTCTCTACCTCTCTCTCAATCTCTTCTATTGCTCTCTTTTTCTTCCTTTCTCTTTTGCTAGTTCCTCTTTTTTCTATTTTCTTCTCAAAGTGTTCCTCATATTTTACCCATTTTGTTGAAACGGGCGCAGTCAGGTCGAAAACTCTCCATTCATGTAATTGCACATTCCATTAAATTGTTGCGCTTGAAGCCTTTTGTTTATCGGCAATATTGCTCGCTTGCAATTATGTCGTAAAATTCCAAAGAGGCAGATGTACAGTGAACAATTCCACATACAAACACCGACACAAAACAAACTTATATCATGCCAATGTTTCAAAATGTGGTCAACGCTCAATTTTGAAATATAATGCCGACTAGAGATTGTTTTAAAGTAAATTCGTTTAACTTTGTGGGTCAAATATTGGTGGCATCGGATTTGCATTCGAATTGCAAAAAATACGCGGGTCAATCGAAAAACATTTTAATTAAACGTATAAAGAATTTAAATGTCTCGATGCATGTTCTTATCGTTAAAATTATCGAACCACTTCTAGTTTCGAAGGAAAATAAACTAATTTCGAAACTGGGATAGTGAGATGGAATCGATTGAAATATGAACGTTTGCATGCAAAAAGGACGAAACTAATCCACACACACACACCCTGTCTACCAATTTAGATAGATAAAAAAGGGAGCGTACAATATAAACAACGTGATATATCGATTGTGTGGCATAATTTCGAATTGGAATTTATTCAAAATTTCAATTGGTTCTATTGATCGATAGCGGTCGTCATCAAAATTTAAATAGAAAACAGTGCCAATCCGAAAAGTGTTTTGGAAAATACATGGACCGAAAGGAAAAAAGGATAAAGGTGAGATTTACAAAGTAGTCTGAATCACTTTCGCCCTCTCACTCGAGAAAAAGGTTCATTTTTATATAAAAAAATATCATGATTTACAGCGGTAACATACGGAGAAAGACATACAGTCAATTGCATTCTGTGATTTATTTAAAAAGATTAGAAATCACATAAAAACGCAGATAGACATGCACATCTCATTCTCGACACTCGCTCGATTCAATTTCAACGAACAAGTTCAACAGACATTTTTGTTTGGTCGCGAACTGTTCTTCTTCATCATCATCATCTTCACTCTTTTCTCTTCATATTGTTTTGAAAACAATTGTCTCTGTGCGGCATCGTATTCGCTTATGGCATTCAATTGTAAATGATACCAGTTTCATATGATTTTGCACAATCTTTGTTCAATGAGATATACCGACAATTCTCCGATTTACTCACAAACAGAGAAGCGAGAAATGAGCCACTCAGTATCGCGCGTTTGCGAGTTCTACGATATAGTACTCATTGCTCAAATGTTTTGTATGTTCAGAACTTTATCCCACAAATACGATGGCGATTGAACGAATGAAACCGACGGAAAGATATAGTGAATGAGTGAGAGATACAATACTTCAGCACATTATACGTACGCATGCTATAGAGCACATCCATATCCAAGCTATTTAGCTCTCTTGCCACCAACAACACCAACGACAACGACGATGACGACTACACAATCCATCACTTGAACGCACGTTTTGGCTGCCAGTTTTCTGTAAACAGTTGATTCGATCAGTTGGCATCTGACTTTGCCGTTGCGATATACCCACACACATATATTCAATTTCGTTACGAACATTTTTTTTCGTCGGTTCGGTGTTTCATGCCGCGTATTTTCAATATAATTCAGCGACGAACCTCGTTAGCATTAATTGAAGCAAAACCAAGAAACATAAACGAAGAAAAATCAACGTAATTAAATCCTCATTTAAATATTTCTGTTGATTTTTTTTCGATTCGGTCATTGGTTTTTGTGTGGTTGAAAAAAAGCCGCCTTTTTTTCTCTAATGGTAAAAAGAGTCGTGGCGCGAGAAAATCGTGAAAATTTCAAAACAAACACAAAGAGTGTCAAATCAAAAGAGAAATTATCAATAAGAAAAAAAGGGCAATTTTCGCACGCAAATTGCACGACGAATCACCAAACTAATAGACTTTATTATAGAAAATAGATTTTAAAAACGATAGACATTTTACAGCCTACGTATAATTGTTAAGTGCGTATGTAACTCAATTATTGTTTTTCGGTTGATTGTTGATCAAACCGCGCGCCAATTCGGCACTCTGTTATTTTGTGTGTGTATTTTTTATTGCTGTTGGTGCTTTCGGTATAACCAAATACTCCATTCATGTGACAACAACCAAAACAAACAAAATAAAAAACACGAATTTCATCTCTACTCCAAAAAGAAAATCATTTTCCATTACGAATCCCCAGGTAAGTTACCTCTCATACAGCTTATTATATCGATACAAATATTGTGCTGTAATTACTCTTTGACCGACACATTTTGTTTACCATTTTAAATTGTTTTTCTTCAACTCGAACGGTGTCTAATGTGAAAGGTATCAAAAGAAGTGGACATTTTGATAACATTTCACCAGATAATTTTTTTTTGTCGACCGAACCAAACAGTTCCGTTGCCAATTGCGTTTTTATTTGGAATTTATTTGGATTTTAACCCTCTTTCTATGTATCAATTAAAATTTCCATTTTTGATGCAATAAAAAGGCTTGCGCTTGGATCTCTTGCAAATGAACCTGGGGGCTTAGTGTCAATGTACTCTTAGCTTCTTTATTCACATTTTGTGAGATGAAAGAATGAATTCGGTATAATTTTATTGCGACACATGCAATTTCTTCGAATCACTGCACTTCTATCAGTGCATGATAGTATCACACATTTTTGCACTCAAAATCGAGCGTTTTCTAATTGGTCGGGGCAAAATTGTTTTCCGTAGAATGTGTGCATACACAATAATCGATTGTTAGCCCTTTTGAATGCGCACGTGCACATGCACAAATTGCATCCATTAACTATTATCTTATCATTTCAATGAAAATATTTGAATTATTATTAAATTACAGTACACAATATGGAATGTGTGATTGAATCTTTTGAAAGTAGTCGGCTACGTTTTGATACAATTAATAAAAATAAAATGGGATCTCGTTAAAGTGATTTAATGGAACAATTTCATCTCATTTGAAAATGAGCAAAGTGGAACAGGGAATAGCGAAAATTATGTTATTGGCACATAATTGCCGTTTTTAGCGATAAAAAATTATGCGCATCTATGAGAATGGGGAAAACAACTTTAGTACACATTAAATATCAAACGGTTGATACACTTATTCTGCAACGCATAAAGATACATATCAAACGCAAATTGGACACTTTCATCTTTTTTGTTTAGTGATTTGAAATGGATGGACACTTTTCAAAATGTCCGAGTTTTAAAGTGGGACGGACAAACGGACAAAATTTGTTTACTGTAGCGCAACTAGATCAGTGTCCTAGCTAACTTTTCAGAGCACCTTTGAAAAACCACACCTCCAAAATTGTTACAAAATCGAAATTCTATTTCGAATATTTCGTCTTAACCTTCCGGGAGATACAGAGTAATTTTTTGAAAATTTGTGATGTGAAATAATATTTAAAAAACAAGGTCTTTTTTACATATCCAGCGATGGAAGAATGTTTTAACGGATATCTTTAACCAGTTCTATATTGTATGATCTTCTCTCTTTCACTATCATCAACAATATCTCAAATCGAGCGCTTCACAATCACAAGAGCAATTACATCGTCGACTTATAAAAACATTTCACGGATCACGTGTGAAATGTTTTTTTCAAATAAACTTTGCATGTTTAACACAGATGTGGTGCATTACTGCTGTGCAGAGCAGCGAAACAAACAACTACGCGCACCGACTACGTGCTTCAATGTGCAATCAATGGCACATTTTTGTTCCAATGAGTGCATATTGGTGCACGTTTTCGGCGCGCGTAGTTGTTTGTTTCGCTGCTCTGCGACTGTGTTTTCAATTACTGAATTCAACGATGCTGCTGTTTTGTCGAACGTCATCTATAATTGCGGGATAAATTCAGATCGAGTTTTCATACGAGTTAAATAGAAACCAATCGGACCTTATGAATTTTCAAAGCCATCACTTTTCCACCACCTTATTCTAGAAGTAAAATTGCAACAAAAATGGTATTGCTCTTTTCTAGTTCAAGTTGCAATCAGAGTATCTTGATTTGCTGCTGCTCAGCATATAGCTGAGAGCTGAGAAATGCTGAGCTCGTGCGGCTAACGCATACGAAACGGATGCACGATACATATTCCCCTTTAGCTTCGTATGTGCTGCCGTTGACGCTATTGCCGGTACAATACCAGCGAACAGACGAAGTGAAAGGGGAATATGTATCGTGCATCCGTTTCGTATGCGTTAGACGTACACTTTCAGAATATATGAAAGACTGAGAGCAAAAACAGCACGTCGCATCTCATCTCTTGCTTTCACTTACGTAAGCAAAATAACGAGGGATGCGACGTGATGTTTTTCTCATATGTCGGTCGCAACACAATTTCAAACTCAACTGGTTACTAAGTTTTGAGTTTTGAATTGAACGTCCAATCAACTGTTTATAACCGTTTAAACGGGGAGAATGCATGTGTGCGTGTCATCTGTTTCGTATGCGTTGGCCGCACGAGTTCAGCATTTCTCAGCTCTCAGCAATATGCTGAGCAGCAGCAAATCACGATGCTCTGGTTGCAATTTGTTTCTTAATTAATTTAAAGTAGTATTTGTTTCTCCAATGACTCCGCACATAAACATGTGAAATAATGGTAGATAATATCGCTGTTATAAAGTACAAATAAAATGTGTCAGTTTAAAGTAATTTGCGATTAATTGGCAAGAATTTGATGCATCTCTGACACAATGTTTGTTATGATTTTAACAAAGTTCGTGTGCCGCAGGCACAAAACATATAAACTTATAAATTTTAACACATACTCGCAATCAAAATGTCAGAAGTTCTTTTGGTAGAGCCTTATCAAAAGCTCTGATTGTCGAACTTGAAACAATGTTCGACTTTTTCCATTGTCTGCTACACAATAGCTGTTATCAATTGCATTTGCAAAGTTTCAATAGATAAATTCAAGAGAAAATCAATAACATTACATGCCTCAAGTGTACACTTCAACAAGCCAAATTTAAAATCGCATTTCGAATATATTCGAAGCCACATTTTCAATGGAAATCACTGAAATTTACTACCATCTTAAACACTTAACACTGCGTAAGCAATTTTCTTTCCGAATTTCGTTTGACGGAGAAAAAAAATTATGTTTCGATAAATTTAAATGCACAAAAAAAGAGAGATTTTTAGGCGCGAAAAGTGTGCATTGAGCGGCAACCCAATAACATGCATCATTAATTCCATCAAAGCGACAGAAGAGACAGCTTCCAGTCATGCATGACGGTGTATAAATCGCATTTTTTCGTGATCAATAAATACTTTGAAGAAGGGCACAACTGTTGTAAATACACTCACAATAAGATCGAGAGAAAGACACTGTTATGGAGCCGAAATCAAATCAAATCCAAATTGGTGTCTTCGATTCGATGAAATTGTATGGGTAACTCCGATGAATTGGAAGGCAAAAATATAATCAGGCAATGTTAACGAAGACAAATTGAATGTGCATTTACAACAAATGGAATCCAAGACAATATGAACGATAATGGACGAATAATGAAATACAATCACAAAAATTACGCAATGAGAAAGAGAGTAAAAGAGAGCAGGAGAGGGTGAAAAATACACATTTTCGACATGATAAATAAATAATAGACGAAAAATGCCGTTCATATTTTGTTTTGGTCACCCAAATCCGACCCCAAACAATGTCAAAATATGCTATCGATAGAAAAATGACAACAAATTTGATGTCGCAAAAACATATATCGAATTCAGTGAGAAAAACCGAAAGAAACAAAGAGTGAAGAGAATAAGAGAGAAAGAGAACGTATGACAATGGCAATGACACTGTCAAGCGACAAAATTACTTTATTCATAATAATTTGTTGAAGGACATTTTTTGCGATGTTGAACGATATATTGTTCGAAAGGTGCCACTTTCTTTGAAGAAACCGTCGTCACACTGACATAACGACCCAAAGAACAAAAAATTAACCAGTTAAATTATATTAAAAGAAGCGCGTGTCTGAACAAATATTGATTTAATAACATGGCAAAAAGTATAATTTGTGAATTATTACAACGCAAACAAAGAGGTGGAAAATAGTTTCCCTTATCGTTGGAAGTGTGTCTACTGTCTATCCAATAAAGCTCAACGTGCTATAAATATAATCAAGCGCATATACAATGTTGGGCGGTTGGATTGTGCACCGTTGATGTCAAGCCTTCGAAGAGAGAAAATATCACCTTCTCTTCGCCCGCTGTGTCGGAATCGAAATTGGATTGAATGACAAGCCTTCACTCACAATGCTAATTAAATAGTAATAAACGTTGAAAATGTTATGTGCAACTGTTATTGTAACACAAAAGAAACACAAAGTATTTCACCTTTATGAATTTAACTTTTTCGCATCAGACATGATCTAATCCGAATCATTTTCACCGCTGAAAAATGATCACATATAATTTGTTTAGTTTGAATTGTGTTGAATGATTGCGAGAAAAATGAGTGGGCGATTTTTACGAGGTATTGAGTCCGAGATCTCTTTTGTATTGTTTAGTTTAATGAAGAATGTTGGGAATTTCAAAATGTTTGAATTTTTTACCGACGGCGTCAGCTTTAATTGCACTTTTTTCATTAGAAAATACGAAGAAACCATTCCAAAGTCGCTGCATTTTGTTGAAACATTTTGCAGTATGTACAAATCTGTTCAGAATATAAGTGATGATGGTACTTTTAGCACCACAATAGTACCCACAGTAGTGGAAAAAGGTGAATTCCATCTCTATTCCCTCCTTCTCTGTGCGAAAAATTCGCGTTTAATTTATCAAATATGAAAAAATCCAAAAATGTGAAAAATAATTCAGTTACTTTAAGAAGTGAACAAAAAAGATTTCAATCAATTTCGCTTGATTGGTCTTAAAATGTCGATTCATGTGCGCCTGAATGGTTTCGGATATTTTACTATTGCAATTTCCATCAATTAAAAATTGATTCGAATGGTTTTCCAATTAGTCGGCACGCATATCGTGTAAAGTGCATTATATCGAAAATTTCACCGATAAAATTGCACTGGAGGTTTTCATCACCTGTTTTTTTTTGTTAAAAATTGGTATGGAGGCGAAAGTGCATACTTAATGGTAAAATGTCCGTGATAATGGTAGCGAATGGCCGTTTGTGTTCAATGTATTTAGCAATTATTTCGATGGCGTGTAATGTGTTGC